GGATCATCCAACCCTTGAAGGTCATCAGGTTGGTGAATGCCATCAGATGGTCTTCTGGGTTAGTAGTGCCGTCATAGGCGCCTACTAATACATTTTTCACTTTGGCCGGCTGAGCGGCTTCAGTAATTTCCTTGGAGAAGGCCGACGGCTGTTCACCAAGTCTAAGCAACCGTAGCTGCCAGTCCATAGGTTGGACATTTTTTGCTGCATGTCCACCAAACGGAGGTGGCTGTAAAAAATACTGTTGTTGCGGTACAAACGGTAAGTTTGGTACCGCCTGGTCGCTATGAAAGCCGGACTGACGGGAGGTGCCGCCTGACTGACTCTCATGATACGACTGAGTATGCCTCATCGAGGTATTTCGCAGACTGTCTTGGAAGTTTGAAGTAGAGGCCGACTCTGACAATCGGTCACTCTTCTTCTGCTCTAGCAGTAGCCGAGCGTCTGTGTATGTTTTCCTCGACCCGTCCGCCTGAATATGACGAACAGGTTTCCTATTTCCTGGAGTAGGAAAACGGTATTTTGTGAAATCAAGGGCAGGTGGCTCCCACTTCCTAGATTTAGGATGAGGGGTCGCCTCTCGCCCTTGAACTGGTTTCCTCTTCCGTGAAGTAGAGGGTTTCTTAGCCGACTGCTCCTTGTCCAGAGCAGGCGGCTTCTTGTTGATCAACTCTTGAATTTCTCCCTTGAAGTCCCTCATGAAGGTCATGACTTCGTTCCTTGTGATGGGAGCAGACCCATCAGTCGGCTGCTGCCGAATAGGCGGTGCGCCTGCTGGCTCGCTTCCAGTTTGAAGATGTTCCCGTTCCCTCCTTTCGGTATGACGGGCACGTCGGGCCCTTAGGGTCCCGTCTGAAGCTGTGTGAGCTTCAACTTCAAATTCATTCTCAGTATCGTGGTCCGACTGAACTAGAGGGTCGTCCAGGGGACGTCTCTCTTCAGGAGCCGGTACAAACGTGGATGCCATCTCAGAAGTACTCTCCCCACAGACGGCGCCAAGATGTTTCGGGGTTTTCTGATGTCCTGCGGGAGAGTTACAATTCCGAGACTGGAACCGGACGCCTGTACCTGCAAAACAAACGGATGCTCCGGATGATTGGAGATCCGCCTCCGACGGTCAAGTTAGTACTTGATTAAGGAGTAATTAATGCGGAAATTAAAGTGATTGGGTCTCTCTAGGTGAGAGTGTTTAATGTGTGTAATCTGCGTTTTTAGTGTAATCTCCCTTAATGAGGATTAAGGGAGGTATTTATAACCTCGGGAAACGTGCCAATCTAGGTTTAGGTTAACCTTGGGCTGATTGGGCTTCCCTCGGAAGTTGGGCCTAGGTGACCGGTTATCCCAGGTGTCATGGGAAGGACACGTGTCGTGTCGTAATTGGTCCATAGTGGACGGATCATTGCTTGACACGTGGCAGGCTCCTATTGGCCCATGTGACGGACACATGGCGGAACCTGATTGGTCCACTTGTCAGATGGTGATTGGTGGGGAAAAATCCCCTAATCATTTACCATGGTCCCTTATCCCCTCCGGGAGTCCAATTGGTTAGGTGGAACAATCCTATATGTCAAGTTTGTGTCATTTTACCCGTTCGCAACTTGCAACGATTACGTGAATTCAAGTCTACCACGGACGTTTATGACAGCATATAATGATCATATATGGTTTCAAACGGCATTATATGACACCGAGATATATCCCTAAGGTCTCAAGACTTTTCGCCATTAGGCCCCGAAACCTCAAAATTTCCTCAAAAAGTGTGGATTATAGCCTTCAATTTTATAATTTTTTTTACCTTTTTTCGCTTGGAAATAAAAACTGCCTAACTGTTTACCATGGTCCGTAATACTCTCTAGGAGTCCAATTGGGTCGGTGGAATCATCCAATATGTTCTTTAACGGTCATTTTACCTGTTCACAACTTGTAAAGATTTCGTAAACTCAAGCCTACCACGGACGTTTATGACAACATATAATGATCATATATGGTTTCAAAAAGCATTATAAGACACCGAGATATATCCCCTAGAGTCACAACACGTTTCGCTACCGAGCCCCGAAACCTCAAAATTTCCTCAAAAAGCGTGGATTGTAGCCTTCAATTTTGTAATTTTTTGACCTTTTTCACTCGAAAATGAAAATAAAAATTACTGAGATGCTTACTATAGTCTTTAATACTCTCTAGGAGTCCAATTGGGTCTGGGGAACCATCCAATATGTCCTTTAACGGTAATTTTACCCGTTCACAACTTGTAGTGATTTCGTAAACTCAAGCCTACCACGGACGTTTATGACATGATCATATATGGTTTCAAACGTCAATATATGACCTCGAGATATATCCCCTAGGGTCTCAACGGTTTTCGCCACCGGGTCTCGAAACCTAAAAATTTCCTCAAAAATCGTGGATTTTAACCTTTAATTTTGTAATTTTTTTTTGACCTTTTTTCACTCGGAAATAAAAATTGTCGAGATGTTTACCATGGTCCCTAACACTCTCTGGGAGTCCAATTGGGTCGGTAGAACTATCCAATATGCCCTTTGACGGTCATTTTACCATTTCACAACTTGTTGTGATTTCGTAAATTCAAACCTACCACGAACGTTTATGACAACATATAATGATCATATGTGGTTTCAAACGGCATTATATGACACAGAGATATATCCCTAAGGTCTCAACACTTTTCGTCATCGGACCCGAAACCTCAAAATTTCCTCAAAAAACGTGGATTATATCATTTAATTTTGTAATTTTTTTTACCTTTTTTCGCTTGGAAATAAAAATTGCCTAACTGTTTACCATGGTCCCTAATACTCTCTGGGAGTCCTCATCCAATATGTCCTGTAACGGTCATTTTACCCGTTTACAACTTGTAGTGATTTCGTAAACTCAAGCCTACCACATACGTTTATGACAACGTATAATGATCATATATGGTTTCAAACGGCATTATAAGACAGTGAGATATATCCCCTAGAGTCTCTAACACTTTTCGTTACCGGGCTCCGAAACTTCAAAATTTCCTCAAAATGCGTGGATTATAGCCTTTAATTTTGTAATTTTTTGACCTTTTTTTCGCTCAGAAATAAAAATTGCCAAGATGTATACCATGGTCTCTTATACCCTCCGGGAGTCCAATTGGGTAGGTGGAACCATCCATATTGTCCTGCAACGGTCATTTTACCCGTTCGCAACTTGCACCTATTTCATAAACTCAGGCCTATCACGGACGTTTATGACAACATATAATGATTATATATATGGTTTCAAACGGCATTATATGACCCCGTGTATTATCCCTTTGGGGTCTCAAGGCTTTTCGCCACCGGGCCCAAAACCTCAAAAATTTCCTTAAAGAACGTGGATTATAGCCTTCAATTTTGTAATTTTTTTACCTTTTTTCGTCCAGAAATAAAAATTGTTGAAATGTTTATCATGGTCTCTTATACCCTCCGGGTGTCCAAATGGGTTGGTGGAACCATCCAATATGCCCTAAAACGTCATTTTACCCGTTTACAACTAGTAGTGATTTCGCAAACTCAAGCCTACCACGTACGTTTATGACAACATATAATGATGATCATATATGGTTTCAAACGACATTATATGACCCCAAGATATATCCCCTAGGGTCTCAACACTTTTTGCTTGCCACTGGGCCCCAAAACCTCAAAATTTCCTCTAAAAGTGTTGATTATTAGAGATGTCAAAAACTTATCCGACCAAATGACCCGGCCTTAACTGACAATCTGAAGAGAGCCTGTCCTCGAACAATGTGGTAAAACTAGTGACCAGTAACCCGACCCATCTTAACCGAAAACCGATTTGATCTAATACTTTATGACCTGAACCCGAACCTGCCTCCGACGTGATAGTATCCGTTAACCGATTTAATCCGAACCCGAACTAGTACCCGACCTAATTAAAACATGAACTCAAGTCATGGAAGGTTTAATAAATTTTATTCATCTTTTATTCAACTTATATACATACGGGTATAATTATGTAAACCCTCAATTCGATTTAATAAAATCTTTTGTTCAACTTATATACCTTTTGTTCTCTACTACTCGTCCATAGGTTTAATAAAATCTTGATGATGCTTAATCAAATTATGGAAGGAGTAATTATATAGTTCAACTTAGCCATATCGATATTTATTAGATTTGAACTTGAACCAAAACCCGACTCAACATTAACCCGAACCCGAATGTACCATCTTGTTAACCCATCCAAACTAGAGGTGATCAAAAATCGGGTCGGGCAGTGCCTTAACACAATTTCTCGTGTCCAAATTAGGGAAAAAGTAGCGGGCTTGTCGGGCCAAAACGGACTTTGCGGGCTTTTTCGAGTCGGGTTCAGGCTTTTTAACTAAAATTGCATTTTATGCTTGCCCAAACCCGCCCCATTTTAGGGCCGGATCGGGCCGGGCTAGCGGGCTTGGCCAATGTTGATCACCTCTAATCCAAACCCGAATCAACACACTCGAACCTGAAATTGAACCTAATCTGATTTTAACTCGAATTGAACCCGACTTATAACCGAAAAAGGTGAACGACCCGTTATAACTTGAACTGAAATTTACCCGACTTGACCCTGATGTGAAATTAGATTGACTCAACATAACCTGATCTTGATTTAACCCGAGACCCAAACCCGACTTGAATACCCGAATTGACAGCTCTACATGACCTTCAATATATTGACTTTAAAACTTAGCCCTACTTGTCCCACTACATAGACCTTAGAAGTTAGCATAGCATCACAATCCATTGTTAATGCCTAATGGCATGATTCATATAGTTCCACTTTCTAAATATACGGAACTAAATTTGATTAGATTTAACTTCAGCTCAGTGACAAAAGGTGGGAATAGACTAACTATTATGGAGTACATATTTATTTAAATCATAAGAGATACTTAAGGAAATCAATCATATTTGTTGAGATGCGGGCTGAAGCAAATAAGATAATGTAAAAAACATGGCAAGAAGTACCTGTAGTCTCAATGATTATGTGATCGAATTTGTCTCGCCTCTCCTTAACTAGTTCCAGCAGCATTTTCACAAGATCGCCACGTACAGTACAACACAAACAGCCATTATTGACCATAACGATGTCATCTTCATTAGAAGACGAGTGACTAGCAACCAAAGAACCATCAATGTCTACCTCCCCAAACTGGATACACAAAAAAAAGAGTTAGCTAACAGAACACTGCGGCGATCAGTTTTTCAGATGAGAGCATATGTGCCACTGTGGTCATTTGTAAGAATCACGGAATACTACGTAGCAACAATCCTCTATAATTTAACAAAGGGAACAAAGTTTCAAACATTATTAATGAAACTGTTACAGCTTCTTATAAAAAAAAATTGCCCAAAGAGATGGATACAAGGAATATCCAGGGAAATGACAAGTCAATAGATAAATGTAGCAATTCCTGCATAACATGAATGCTCTCTAGGTCATTGCAATATTAGTCCATTTAAAAAATTGTTAAGAGTAAACTGCACTAGTGATTCTTTTACATTTATTCAGTACTCTAGTTTTGATGAAAGGTAAAAAGGAGTTTGCATAGTATATACCTAGATACATCTACTAAGCTTGATATCATTTTGGCTACTTATCATCGAAACTTCTCTCTTCATATTTCAGTCTTCTCAGTTAATACTAGCCAAATGTTTAAAATTGCCGTCGTAATAGAATAAGTGCAAGGGCTATATACTCACCGTGTGCTGTATAGTCTTATGAAAGCATAAATCAAAAGATACTCAATGGTATCCAAATACATATGGCCTTTGCTTCCTGTTGTCATTATTGTTGCAATTACTTCTAATATAGGTTGGTTATCTATTGTATCATTGTTGCTTCAATCAATTCTAATATTAGTTGATATAGTCACTTGGAGGCCGAATCACTGTGAAAGTAACTCAAAAAACGGTAACTAATTCTAAATGCAGGTTTTTGTAGTATAAGAGTACACAACTATTAGAACCATCTATTAGCACAAGAGGCATATATTTTCATACCTCATTTTCGATGACAGCGATGCGCTTCCCATGCTCAGCTGTTAGAATGTGATTCAGCAAAGTAGTCTGCCAAAATAACACCAAGCAAGACAATCTTATAAACATATGAAATAACAGCAACATTCCCAAATAATTGTAGAAACTTGCACTCCAAATTCAAAACCAACAACTTAAATTACAATATAATCACAATAATTATAATCAAAATTAAATGTCCATGCTTTTTTACCTTGACAACGCTCAAAATCAAAAGATATAAAAAAAATCACAAATTTAATTCAACCCAGAATACTTGAGCCTCTAAAAATAACATAATTAGGCAAATGATCAAGCAACTATATAACTATGAAGTGGGTAATCTTATATTATACAAAATTAACAAATAAATATTAGATACAGAAGAGAGATATATATACCTTGCCAGAGCCAAGAAAGCCAGTGATAATAGTAGCAGGGACGCGAGAATCAGCCCCAAAAACGGCATTTTGGATATTATAATCAGGGAATGTTGACAAATTCCTTGAGTTTTTTCTGGGATTTCTGTAAAATACATTTTCAAACAATGAAGTGTGAATATACCTGAGAAATTGGCATGAAAATGGAGTTTGAAAAGAAGGGGTTTTGGTTAAAGGGTTAAAGAATTGGGAAGAGGTGATGATTTTTGTTGCAGTGGCTCTGTAAAACATGTAATTAGCCGCCATTGTTAACTGATTTTCGAAGAAATTTTGGGGGAAAAATTCAAATTTGAGAGTTGGAAGTAGTAGTAAAGTGTTGGGGCTTAAACCCTAGAGAGAGAAGTTGGGAAGAGTAGAGAGAGAAAAGGGTTTAAGGTTTAGGCTCCCTTCTAGTTGAGCTCTAGGCTCTAGCCCTTTAACCCTTTTAAGGGAGTCTTGTATGATTAATATGTAGTATTTTTAACCATCGGACTTTTTAAGCCGGGTAAAAAAAAAACCAGCATAGGTACGTTTTATGCACTTTGTATATGTTATTTTTTCAATTTTTGTAATTAAGAGTACGGTGTAATTTTAAAAGGTAACTCAAAGTATTAAAATGGTGACTTTAGAAACAAATTGACAACTTGTTAATGTTATGCTAAGATAAGCCTTAGTTGACAAGAATAATTACGAGGATCGAGTTCGTCTGTCAAAGGATTTGAGGTTTGCCAATTGAGGATTGAAGAAAAATAGATTTGCAAATTGAATTTGCTCAGTTTTTTTTTTTTTTTTTTTTTTTTTGACAACAAAGGACTAAAAGAAGGTGATTTAGAAAATAGTGAGCAAATATAATAGCCGATAATAAATTAGTAGGTATGGTTGAAACTAGAGGATTGACCACCCCAAGTCGAAGAGGCAATGTGTCTATACCTAATAGTACTTGTATTACTCTCATTGATGAGCTAAGATTTAAGATTGACCAATCCTGAATTCATTCTTACTTTAAGTCGTTAGCTTAATAGTCCAATCGATTTTGAACAAATTAAAATAATCTAGAACATGAGCATGGAAATGCTCGTTCATAAATGTTTATGGACAAAATATAGAAACGTCGAAAGAAGAAATAATATAATAAAAAAAATCCAAATTAAATCATTTGTATATTTAATTCTAATTAGAATTGTACCTATACATCATTAACAAATTAAAGTACAGTAATAATTAGGAGGCTAAACTTTGGTCAAATTGTTGTTATTATCTTCTATAAGCAAGCAATTTGGCTTCAAATTCAGCCCCATGTGCACCACCAAAGTCATAACCATGGTTACTAGTACCACTACCATTGTTTAAGTTCAATTGCAAGGAACAATAATTTCCTGATGCACCTGCTTCATGCTTAATCTTCAACAAATCTCCCTTGTAATCTTGATGATCGCCTTCGGACCGACGATGATCAGGATAAATTTGATCAAAAATTGATTTCATCTCCTTACTATTAACATGTTCACTAAACATTAGACTTTCTTGATTACTTAGATTATTATCATCATTATTGTTACAACTATTATTGTTACTACTAGGGCAACTCATATCAACAGAAATGCCTTGTTGCGCTTTGCATAATATGGCTTGTAAGTACTTTTCTTGTGCCTCTATCCTTGTTCGTAATTTTTGTTGAACCTGTCAATAAAATAGTTGTTAATTAGAATATGTACTTTTCTATATTTTAACCTTAAAATAAATGTTTTACTTAGGATCTGTTCACATTTACTGAAAATAAACTGAACTGAACTGAGCTGAGCTGAAATGAATATTTTATGACAGAAGAAAATTAGGAATTGATATGATAAACTGAACTGATTAAAGTTGAACTGGACTAAACTGAACTGAAATTAAGCTGAAGTAAACAGACCCTTAATTATTACTCTTATTTGTTTTAAGATTTGAAAACAAAACATGCACCTCTAATTGATCTTGTAATTTGGTCTGTATTTCGAGTTGACTTCTTAGTGCCTCCGTGATTGGAATATCTCTGTTCAAATCATACGAATAGACTATTAGTACTTCCATTGTTTCAAATTGTAACAATTTAAAAGTACATTTTTCAAAGAATGATCAATTATACACATACCCTAGATCGTAACTTCCACTTGATGAACCGTGGCCTGTACCACTAGTACTTGCCTCTGAGCAGTGAAGGCTATATCTTGAGTATGAATTTCTCGGATCTTCAAGAAAATAATTTAATTGCATAATTAAAATCACAACAAAATTAATTCATGCAAAAGTATAGTACGTACAAGCTAAGTATAATTTAAATTATAATGGCATATTTTTTTGATATCAAAAATAATTAAACGTAGTAAAAATGAGGCTTACTAGTGGAATCTGTTTTCCCTTCAGAACTATTTTGCTTCTTAGACTGTTGTCCAAGCCTGTATTTCTACACATAATTAACAACAATTAGTGAGTAAATTGACAGATTAATTTAGGACAAATTTATATATGAAAAATGAATTATTAATGAGTGAAATGATAATTAAATACCTGTAAATGGCTCTTTAAATGGTACAATGTCAACCCTTTTAATCCCATCAACTTCAACACTGACTTAGGAGTTGCCTCTACAAATTTTAATTCGATCAAGTTAGACATCAATAGGAAATAAATTACACGTTCAAACAGTATACTATAAGCAGATTAAGCACTCTAATCATATCATGTATGAATGCATTGCTCTTAACGATTGCTTAAGAGTAAAAGGGGAGGTAATGGAATCTCCCTAGCTATTCGCCTATTCCTAAACATTTGTTGTTAGTTGAGCTCAAATTTGTTACCTGAAAGTCATAAGATGAGTTTCCTACCAACTCTACACCAATAAGCATGCTTGGTTACGTATCTTTACTATTATGACTGGATAGAATATTACCTTCTTTTGATCGAATTAAAAATATTTGTCATTGAACCGGTTGTATCCTATAGATCATTTTTAACGCATGTGTTCACATGGACAAATTAAAATTAATAACGATTGTTGTACGAAATACAAATACTATACGATCGACTGGTTGTATATAGATAATTGTACTACATATATACTTGATAGTTGTTCAAGTTAGTTTTCAAATGTAATAGTTGTTCACTTGTTCATCATCAGTAATACTCCATACATAATTTATTTAAAAAAAAATAAAAAAATCCGAAAAATAGAATTTAGCTATGTTGGATTTTGTCTAGCTTTTGCAAACTCTACACAGAAGCCGTTAATTTAGGCCACTTTTGCCAAAAACTACTCTAGTCTCTAGATAACTAATGCAGAATCCAATGCATGCTAAATAAGTAAATATGCTTGTAAAAAGTATTAAAAAAAAAATACATTCAGTATTTCAGTGTTAATCATTTTTTACTCAATCAAGTACTAGGAATTACTACACCCAAGTACATCATGATAAGAGTTTATCCATCATATTGACATGTTTGGGTTCTATTTTACCCTAAATAATGCTCCAACATTACACTGACAATTAATAAACTTGTTTATAGCCTTGTATTATTATCATTTTGTTGCATTCACAATTGCACATATTAACTGCTGTAACTTTTGGACAGTTAATTAGTTGATGCTCCAACATTATACTGTACCGATTAATTAAAGTAATGTATGTAGGAATTTGGTTCCCAAAACAATGAAACATGCATATTAATAGTAATAATAATACAGAGAAATAAATAAGTAAATAAATATAGAATTAGAAGGACTAGAATAATTAAAATATCTAAAAGGAAAATAATTCAATAATTATAGTATTTTACTCGTAATAATTAATCTTCTAATTCAATGCCTATTAAATTAAAGCTACTAATTTGTCAAAAAAGCAACTATTAATTCCATCTAGATTGCTAAATTAGTCAATGATTAGTTAATTGATCGGCTTAAAGACATTCATATCCCATCAAACATAAAGGTTTCAAAAATTAATTCCAATAATTTTGTGATTTGATGATCTTATAAAAATGGCTAACTCTAATGTTTGCAAATACTAGCTACCTAGTTCATTGATCAATTTCAGCAATCACATAGGTAAATTAACCTAAACCTCATAATAAAATTCTAAGATGAGAAAACATTCGAATAATTTTCCTAGAGTTGCATAAATCATTTTCCTCCAATTGGCTCAATTATTTATCCAAATTACAACAAAATTTAACTTTTGAAATTTAACTTTTGAAATATCGGATTTTCATAAATTAAACGTAAAGAAAAAAAGTGAAAGAGAGGGAAATAAAACATACTGTCAGGACCACCAAGCTTGGTAACAGCATCAACAAAACGTTCATGAAGATCAGGAGTCCACCGTAGACGTGGTTTGGGGTCCCTCGACATCAAAACACCGCCTTCTAACGCTTGATGATGGTGGTACGGGAAGCTTCCGCCGTCTCCACCGCCGTATACTCCGCTCATACCTCCCTCCATCTCTTATCTATCTCTTTCTCTAATAAATATTTGAGATCGATCACAAATATAATTATATTACAAAGTTTACAAGCAAACGTAGGTTAATATATAGTATGTGTCCGACATAATAATTTTTATATATTATATTTGTCTCCATTCTCCAACCCCTTATAGCTTGTAATTAAGTTCAAATCCCTATAATGTTTTAAAACTTATTTGGTTAAAGTATAATATATGAGAAGTAAAGCTTAAAATTAAATTGGACAAATTAATCGTGGCATTGTCACTCTAACTAATATAATCATCACTAATGATTTTAATTTAATTTGATTGACTTGATAATATGGTGTTGGATAGATCGATAATCTTAAGAATCTTGTTGGATTGCATGACTCCTTGATTGGCTAACCAATAATATGTGTCTCCATGAATCGATTGGCCCTAAGAAACAATAGACAACTCACTAGTTAATTACTAATTGAATGTGTAAATGAATGAAATGAAGAAATTAAATGTAATTAAAAGTGTTTTTATATCAATGAAATGTCGCAATGCAAGGAGGAAAATTAAATATAATTGTTGATGAAAATTAAAGTTCAATGAATATATATTTGTTGACATTACAAATTTACAATATATCATGAAGGATAATGGATACCATAACTCAAGTTTGAGTATTGAAATACAAAATGAAAATTAAATTACATATCCAACACTATATTATAGAGGTGATCATTTAGCGGACTGGGTCGGGTTCAGGCCGGGCCAAAGCTAAAAAATTATGCCCACTTCTCAATATATATTAGGATAATGGATAATGAAAATTAAAGTACATATATTAGGATAATGGATGATGAAAATTAATATATGTACTTTAATTTTCATTATCCATTATCTCAATATATGTACTTTAATTTTCGGGCTGGGTCGGAAAAATCTGCCCAAAACCCGTCCAAAATCGGGCCGAAGCTAAAATAATAATAATAAAAAAGGTAAAATTTAAATAAATTACAAAATATATTAGAATATTGACAATGGTCCACACTTTTTGACAAAGAGACTCAAAGTTGAGAATCTAAACTTAGCAACTTTCTTTTGGAGTTGTTAAGTTTATATACCAACTTATTGGTATACATTGCAAAAAATACTCTCTCTCTCCTAAAAATACTCATTTAAGTCTCATCATTGGAAATGGTCTAAAAGTCAATTGAAGATTATTAGATTGAGTGGCAAGGGCCAATAATTTGTGATGTTCATGAAGATATATACCCAAAATTCACAAAATTATTGTTACAAATTACAATAATTAAACACTAATAAGTTTGTAAGGACTTCATCTAACTTTTGTACTTTACATTACATTATTAATTAAAAAAAAACTCAAAGTATTAATTAATAATTATTTGACAATAATTAGGGTTGGGAATCGTAATCTTGAGAGATACTGACAGCATAATATACTTATAAAGTTATGTATGTATATACATGGATTCAACGGTGATGTTGCTTGGATATTGTACAAGATTCAGAGAACTAAATATTGTTATAGATGTAGGGAAGACAAAGTCTGATTTAATTAAAAGAAATTAATTAGTGAAGGTTTTTTTTTAATAATTATTAACTGACCGACAGTGTCATGATTCATGAAACCAATTTGGTCACTTGGTAAAATTAACCACCCTTGCTAATTAATTTCAAATGCCACCTTAATTAAGAAGTAATTTATTATTAATTTTTTTTTTCTCTTTTTGGATGTAGAGAGAGTCGCTATGGCAATGATATGTATTGTGAACGGAATAATTTAATCTCTAGTTCTTACTTCTTAATAGTTAATACTCCATATCAATATATTAATTAACCATCTAAACTAAGAGTTTGTTCTCATACGTTGAAATTCAGTTCAGTTCAGTTCAGTTCAGTTCAGCTCAATTCAGTTTATGTCTAATGATATTGCTAATGATATAAAGCCAAATTTCATTCTTTTAATCTCTTATTACAACGATAATAATAATAATAATAATAATAATAATTATAATAATAATAATAATAATAATAATAATAATAATATTGATACAATTCATTGTTCAAATGGTTCTCTTTTTTTGATACACATTTCTACTGTTAAACTCATTGAGAAAATTAGAGTACTACACAACTTAAACTAATTTTCATAATCGGTTAGTTCTTCGTCTTCTTCTTGTCCACCAAGCCCCTCCATCGCCACGACATTCCTCTGAACTGACTCCCATATCTGATCAGTTATTTCTTGTCGTACAATATCCATAGTTGTTTTTCTGTTAGGAATGTACATAGTATGATCTTCTCTTCGCTCCATGACTTTAACTTGGTGCGTGAATGGAATCCCTGGTTCATGTAAACGAATAAAATTGTGTAGAGTACAACAAGCAACGATTATTTGCAACTGAAAACATAATTTTATTTTTTTTATTTTTAATTATTTAAAAAAAATTAAACAACAAAGTGTTTTGTGTTCTTTTGTCATAATACTATTTTATTTTTAAATTATATAATATATGTGTTTAAAATGTTTTGGGGTTTCATGTTTATATTATATTTTCCATAAATATTATAATTATAAAGTATATTTTTCATAAATATTTTAATATGTACATATGTATATACACATATGTATAGTAATAAATAATCAAATATCACTAATCCATAGTTAAAAATCACTAATTACTAAGTTCAGTTCAGTTCAGTTCAGTTCAATTATGTTATGTTCAGCTGATGATTTCAGTCAATGAGAACATGCTCTAACAATTTTGTATACTAGTATATGAATTGATCACCGTTATTGTGCCTCGAAGTCGATAAGCTTGCATTGGCCAATTGTCTCATGCTCCCTTCCTAGATTGATAGACAATTTGATAAATTTGGCCACATGTTGCTGTCAATGTACATACCTTTGGGTATGCCATATTTTTAGGAAATAATACTACGTATAATCAATGTCTAAGTAATCTTCTAAAGCTGAGCATGTTACTAAATGCTGATACTTTGTGAGGAGGATTGTTATCGTGATGAACTTGGCTTGCACTTATAATTTTTTTCTAAAATAAGTTTAGCATAATAATGGTTAAATGTTTGCTCCATGCATGTACATTTTGTTGATGTTCGTTGGTTCTAAATATTTCTTCAATTTACACGTAACAATGCAAACATGATTGTGTTAAGTGTTTTTGGATTAATTTTAATGTACAGTTCTAAACATCAATTTTATAATTTTACCAATTTATAATCAGAGATATAATCTGTTGATGTTATGTATGGACAATCAAGCTTAAAATCCAAAGCATTATTGCAGATGTTTTAAATTGGTTTTACATTATTAATGCTTGACCCCATCATATCTAATTGTAGGAGTAATCATCTCTTTTAATCATTACCACATTACTTGATATAATAATGTAATTCCACATGTAATAATCTATAAACAATAGGGTTTTCCCAACAAGGGACAAAACTCAATTGTGCTAAGACTAAAAAACAACAAAAGGAAGAAAGAGAATAAAACAAACAATAAATAAAAAAAGAAAAAGAAAAAAGCATGTAGAGAAGAAAACGGCGAAGAAAACGAGAGACCGCCATGCATTGATGACAAGTTGCGAGGGGAGCAAGAGGTAATAGGGGAGGGATGCTTGGTCGGGGTATTTTGGTCATTTTTTGTGAAATTTTAAATTTAAATGGTATAATTTGTATACCATTAGAGAAGACTATATAGTAATTTTAGAGCTGTCAAAAGTTAATCCGATCCGAAATACCGACTCAAATCCGATTATTAGCCGACTCATCTAAATCCGAAAAAATAGTGACCCAAACCCGACTTGAAACCAACCCTAGACTCGAGTTGATCCGAGTATGTGAGACCCGAACCCGAACATGAACTGACCTGGAGATGACCCGACCCAAATATAACCTGTAAATTATTGACCTGAATCGAACCCGACTTGAACCGAAATTGAACCGAACCCGTTTTAACCCGTCAAAACCCGAATTTAACTCGACTTTTTACTAACCTGACCCGAATTCAACCCGACCCGAATTTTACTAGATCTATTACTAACCCGGCCCAAAAATTCAACCCGATTTGTTACTAACCCGACTCATATTCAACCCGACTTGTTATTGACCCGACCCGAATTTTACTAGACCTATTACTAACCCGACCCAAAAATTCAACCCAATCTGTTACTAACTCGACTCGAAATTAACACGACTTGTTATTGACCCGACCTAAATTCAACCCAAATTGTTCCTGACCCGATTTCAAATCACCTTAAATGCAATTTAGACCACCTCATTATTGTTGATCAAAGCATTTTCTCTAGGGAGACCAAGTCGGTCCAGGCCAACAAAAAAAGGAGCATCATCATTAAATTTAAGAGTTAAATATAGAATATATTTGTTGTATGGTCAAAGGAAATAGACAATTATCTTCCTAAATTATAAACTATAGTTCCCTAGTATATTGTCATATATATTATAGTCAAAGAAAATAATTAGCTTGATAAAAATGATAATTATCTATTTATAGTTAGTTGAACCCGAATATGACCTGACTTGGAAATGACCCGACCTGATTGTAACCTTGAACATGACCCGACCTGATTGTAACCTTGAACATAACCCGACTTGACTCTGAGAATGACCCGACTTGGAAATGACCCAACCTGATTATAACCCGGAAAACATTTATGACAACAAATACTGATCATATATGGTTCCAAATGACATTATATGACCCTGAGATGTATCCCCTGAAATATTAATATTTTTCTACACCGGGCCCCGAAACCTCCAAAATTTATCAAAAAGCGTGGATATTAAGCCTTCAATTTTGAAATTTTTTGAATTTTTTTTTCGCCTGAAAATAAAAATTGCAGAAATGTTTACCATGGTCCCTAATATCCTTCGGGAGTCATAATTGGGTGGGTGGAACCATCCAATTTGCCTTTAAACGACCAATTTACCGGTTTACAACTTGCACCGATTTCATTAATTCAAGCCTATCACGAACATTTATAACAACAAATAATGATCATATATGGTTCCAAATGGCATTATATGACCCCGAGATGTATCCCATAGAATTACAAGACTTTTCGACACCGGGCCTCAAAACCTCCATAATTTCTCAAAAAGCATGGATATAAGCCTTCAATTTTGTAATTTTTTGACTTTTTTCGCCCGTAAATAAAAATTTCCGAAATGTTTACCATGGTCCCTAATATCCTCTAGGATTCACATGGGTGGGTGGAACCATCCTATTTGCCTTTGAACGGCTAATTTACCGATTTAGGGCATGTTCTCATTTACTGAACTGAGCTGAACTGAACTGAACTGAACTGAGCTGAACTGAACTGAACTAAAATGAATATTTTATAAGAGAAGGAAATTAAAAGCTGAGCTGAACTAAACTGAACTGAAATGAATATTTTATAAGAGAAGGAAATTAGAAGCTGAGCTGAACTGAACTGAACTCAACTGAGCTGAACTGAACTGAACTGAAATGAATATTTTATAAGAGAAGGAAATTAGAAGCTGAGTTGAACTGAACTGAACTGAACTGAACTGAACTGAGCTGAACTGAACTGAGCTGAACTAAACTAAACTAAACTAAACTAAACTAAACTGAAATAAGCTGAACTGAACTGAACTGAACTGAATTTCAACGTAAGAGAATAGGCCCTTACAACTTGCACAATTTCATTAATTCAAGCCTACCACGAACATTTATGACAACATATAATGATCATATATGGTTCCAAACGAAATTATATGACCCCGAGATATATCCCACGGAATTTCAAGACTTTTCGACACCGGGCCTTGAAACCTCCAAAATTTCTCAAAAAACGTGGATATTAGCCTTCAATTTTGGAATTTTTTTGACAATTTTTTCGCCTGGAAATAAAAATTGCCGAAATGTTTACTATGGTCCTTATTACCCTTCGGGAGTCCAATTGGGTGGGTGGAACCATCCAATTTGCCTTTAAATGACCAATTTACCGGTTTACAACCTGCACCAATTTCATTAATTTAAGCCTACCACAAACATTTATAACTACAAATAATGATCATATATGGTTCCAAACGGCATTACATGACCCCGAGATGTATCCCATAGAATTTCTAGACTTTTCAACACCGGACCTTGAAACCTCCAAAATTTCTCAAAAAGCGTGGATATTAGCCTTCAATTTTTGAATTTTTTGACTATTTTTTTGCCCGAAAATAAAAATTGCCGAAATGTTTACCATGGTCCCTAATACCCTCCGGGAGTCCAATTGGGTGTGTGGAACCATTAAATTTACTTTTAAACGACCAATTTACCGGTTTACAGCTTGCACCGATTTGCAGTTTACAAAGGCCAATTTAATTAACTTGCACCGAACCCGACTTGAACCGAAATTGACCCAAACCCATTTTAACCTGTCAAAACCTGAATTTAACCCGACTTATTACTAACCTGACCTGAATTCAACCCGAGCCGACTCGTTCCTAACCCGATCCGAATTTAACTCAACCTATTACAAACCCGACCAGAAATCAACTCGACTTGTTATTGACTTGACCCAAATTCAACCCTACTTGTTATTGACTTAACCCGAATTTTACCATAGCTATTACTTACCCAACCCATAAATTCAACCCGATCTGTTACTAACTCGACTCGAAATTAACATGACTTGTTATTGACCCGACCTAAATTCAACCCAAATTGTTCCTGACCCGATTTCAAATCACCTTAAATGCAATTTAGACCACCTTATTATTGTTGATCAAAGCATTTCCTCTAGGGAGACCATGCAAGTCGATCCAGGCCAGCAGAAGAAAGGAGCATCATCCTCAAATTGAAGAGTTAAATATAATATATATTTGTTGTATGGTCAAGATAATTATCTTCTTAAATTATAGACTATAGTTCCCTAGTATATTACCATATATATTATAGTCAAAGGAAATAATTAGCTTGATAAAAATGATAATTGTCTATTTATAGTTAGTTGAACCCGAATATAGCCTGACTTGGAAATGACCCTACCTGATTGTAACCTGCAAATTATTGACTTGAACATAACCTGACTTGACTCCGAGAATGACCCGACTTGGAAATGACCCAGGAACTGAACCCGACTTGAACCCGAGAATGACCCAACTTGAAATGACCAGACCTCATTATAATCCGCAAATTATTGACTTGAACCGAACCCGGCTCAAACCCCGAGAATGACCTGATTTGATTCTTACCCGCAAATTATTGACTTGAACCGAACCCGACTCGATCCGAGAATTACCCTAACCCGTTTTAACCCGTGAAAATCCGAATTAAACCCGACCAATTGTTCACTCGACCCGAATGTAACCCGATCGAAACCCGACCCAAATCCGATAAGATGAATGACCCGACGTGACCCGACTCAAGCATGACCCAACCCAAACCCGACCCGCATAGGTTATGAAATTAATCTGAATTGACCCGACCCGAGTTAACCCAACCCATTCTTACCCAACCCAAACCCGACCCGTTTACATGAATTGACAGCTCTATATAGTCTTAGTGGAGTCTTAAGGTACCTATCAGTATCACATTAGTATATTGAAATACTCAAATACCATATCCAAAAAACTCTATTTTTACTATTTGAAAAATGTCAATTTCAATGGTACTAATGTGATATCCAGATCTGTTAATTTTTGGCCCAACCTTGTAACTTGTCTCGACCCGATTTAAAACTCGAGTTATGAAACTGACTCAACCCAAACGACCCAAAATTAATCAATTTAACCCAATTATCATATTTCATCTATAATAAACCAACCGATGCAAACCACTCGAATCAAACAACCCAAACAAATCCAAACATGACTCGTTGACCCAAATTGACAGGTCTAATTGATATGATCTAATGGTACCATGAAACTTTAATGATAGTATATATACATATGTACATTAAATTTTCATAGAAAATGACCAATATACTTTGGTATGTAGTTATGTTAGAGATATGATATCATTAGTATCGGAAAATATACTACCTCCGTTAAATGTTATGTGCAACTTTGGGGTATTATTTGTGAGATATAAAATATTCCAAAATTGCACATAACATTTAACAGAGGTAGTATATGTGATGTACTTTCTGTATTGATCTTATTAGGAGAATAATATATTTAAGATATTATTTAGAAGATAAATCTTAAGATTTATGGTTAGGCTAGTATATCTTTTAGAAAGATTATTTTCTATCTTATGAGGTTAGGTTTTGTATAAATACTCGGTCTATCAATGAATAATAAATCAAGTCATTCTCTATTTCTATTCTATTTTCTCTAATTTATCATCGTATCAAAGCCAAGTGTGGGCTGTGTTGTGACCTGGGCATGCACTTAACAATTTCACATAATTGTAATTAGTAAGGGATTTGGGATTTTTGGATGAATTAAACAGTTAAAATTGTAAAGTAAGAAAGGAGAATGGTTATTTTGATCACTTTACATCAAATCATGGCATGATTATTCATTCATGCAATTGCCGGCCATAATATACGGGGAAAACCACGTGCCACGTCCCCGAGTTTGGACTAATTGGGCCGGTATAGTAGACGGTGCGCACATGTTAGTCGGTAAGCGTAAGCCATTGGAGAAAAACTAAAGAAGCTACTGTTTTTTTTTTTTTTTATTATTATTATTATTATTATTATTATTGTTGTTGTTAATATAAAGTTAAAAAAAATACATGAATTCTATTGAGTTTGCTTTTTAGGACTTGTTACTTATCTTTCTCAAAATGAAATGAGAACAAATTAGATCAGATTTTATAAAATTATATATCGTAAAGTTCGGGCCTGTTCATATTTACTTAATTTCAGTTCAGTTCAATTCATTTCAGCTTCAATCAGGTCAGCTCAGCTTCAATCATTTCAGTTCAATTCAGCTCTTAGTTTCCATCTCTCATAAAATATTCATTTCATCTTAGTTCAGTTCAATTCAACTTCAATCAGTTCAGCTCAGTTCAATAAATGTGAACAGGCCCTGCATAATGAGACAAATATAATTAACAATTTCCAATTTGATAATTATTTTTTTATTTTATTTTTTTATTACACCTTATTATGGAGAATTTTGAATAACAAAGACATAATTCAAGGATAACACTTTGAGCAATTAAGGCAATGGTGGCCTAAAAAACCTTATTATTATTATTATTATTATTATTATTATTATTATTATTATTAATTATTATTATTATTATTATTATTATTATTATTATTATTATTATTTTCTCACAAGTAGCGTTTCAAGTAATCATGCATCCGAGTGTATTCAACCTCCGGATAGAGTTTTGAAGCTTCTTCATCATCTTGTACCTCAAAATTAGCAAGGCATCCTTCATAGAATATGTGGTAAAAATGTCCTATTCCCACTTGGTGTGCTAATTCAGCATCTGAAATACAAAAACAAAGATTGAGACAATTATCACACACAAATCAAAGGGTCTAATAAACGAAAACTAATTCCACCAACAATAACTTTAATTACATGCAATTACCTACAAGTGCTTTTAAATACATAGGCGACTAACCTATACTACAATATAAGTACTCCCTCCATTTAAGTACGTTGCAATATTATATATATATCTCACAAATAATACCCCAAAATTGCAACTAATGTCTAACGGAGGTAGTATATATATGTGATAATTATTTTGGTCGGGGGAGTAAAATTGAAAACCGTACCTTTCATAGGGGCAAGAAAATCCTGAGCAGAGATGGTGTGCTTGTTGAGGTCCTTTCCTGTGAGGTTCTCCCACATTTGAACCAATTCTCTTTGAGACAATATATTTTCTGGAGGCCTGATGTTAATTGTTTTGTTTACTACACGAGGGTCGTCTATTGTCTTCACAGCATATGTTGCAACATCATCCTCGTCCATGAAGCATGCTGTTGCAACGTTGTTCACGTACTTAAAATTTAAGTGCATTATAGACAAACATAAGTACGCAGTACGTATAAAACATTTATTCATACATGCATTCGTTAGTCATTTCTTTATATTAATTTATTCATACATGGATACATGCATTCCTTAGTCATCTCTTTAGAACTTATTTATTTTGAAAAAATAAGGTGGACGTTTGAGCTAAATTAAAATATTAAATATCCGTCAAATAACTTATAGAGTTTGGACATATGGAGAGATGGAGCTTGAATCGAAAGGTACCTTTGACATTTCCATCCCCATAGAGGACAACATCATCCTTAGGAGGAAGAAGAGAGCTCATTTGAGAAAGGTTGCCAACAAAGTAACCACCAAAACAATTAGCAATTACATAAGTAAATGGAATTTGAGCATCTTCAATTGCTTTTCTCACAATCATCTTCTCATCAAACGTAACTCTTCCTGGCTCAAGTGCATTTCCCATTTTTGCTGGGTCCATACCGAACTCTGATGGCAAAAAACGCTGCATATATACATGTACATATACATGCATAAACATGCACCATAATTATTATATTGTTAATTATATTACAAATTAAACCTATGCTTTCTTTTTTATGAAACTTATGTTATTTTTACAAATGGAAAATTTGAACCATAAAGGCATAAATGCACACTACGAGTACATATTGATTAAACACGTAGTATATATAGGTGATTAACTTGAAAATGTTTGCTATTTGTTTGGGCTACTAAATACTAAGTCTCATATATATTATTTTTGTATAGGCTTCAAATAAAAAAATAATAGTACCACCTTTCACTAATGAGTAGTGGATTTTACTAAATAATAATATGTCCCATAAATATTATTTTTGTACCACCAAGCACCAACCATGACTATCTTATGTTTAGTCAATTTATTTTAGTTGATATATATTTATTTTAGATATATATAATAGACATTTTAATTTATTTGTGTGTTTTGATTTTGAAATAATGTGAACATCACTATTCAATTCAACTCATTTAAGTTGATATTTGCTCAGATCATTTTAGGATGAATTAGATCATGTCATAATAACATTCAAATTTTAATTTATTTTGTTAGTTTAATATTGTTTAATTATTGTTTTTTTTAATTTCATAATTAAAAATTTGTGAAAATTTTATATTTGGAAATTGCTTATAAATTGATACAAATCTAATGACGTCCTAATTTTTTTTTTTTTGAATAAATGTATAAAGTTTCATCAATTTGGATAATCATATCAAATCAAATCAGATTTAAAAATTTCAAATCAGATCAAATACAATCTACCATTTTATTTACTGAAAAAATCATGATAATTATATGTGTTAGGGCATGTTCTCTTACGTTGAAATTCAGTTCAGTTCAGTTCAGCTCAGTTCAGTTCAGCTCCTAATTTCCTTCTCTTATAAATATTCATTTCAGTTCAGTTCAATTAAGTTCAGCTCAGCTCAGTTCAATTCAATTGAGTTCAGTTCAGCTGAGTTCAGTTAATGAGATAGGTCCTTACTATGTCATAAATTATAGGTGAAAAGGTGGTCGCTTGAAATAAGACAATGTTTTAGAAGCTCATAATTGATATATTTATCTCCAAGTAAGAGATTATATTACTTTATTTTGGTATAAAATATGATTATAAACTTTTTTTTATTTATTTATCAACTTTTTAGTTTCATTTATGTAATTTTTAATTATTATTTTATAATTTTTGAAAAAATATTGATTTTATGTTGGATTAAAAATTTTCAAAAACTATATTTGCATTGTAGATCTTAGAAGACTAATTGTGTCTATATTATAATGTGAAAAATAACCGAGCATATTTTTATTATTACAGGAGTCCTCGTATAATATAAGACACGAGGACATAACTCGTTCATTTGCACCAAATCATTAATCTTGTCTTATTAATCATGGGGTAACCCTGTATGTGGACCCTGTCTAGCGTCTACCTTAGATATTTTCCATATTCTAAACCCAATTTATTCATAATAGAAGAAGTGTACGCCAATACTCTAATTATAAATGACGATAATAAGTTGGTGCATTTAGACCTTATATTTATTTATACTATATATTAAAACACGTTTTCAGGTAATTTTTTTTTTATTGCGCCTCATTATCTTCCTAATATTTTATGACGCTATATCATCATTCAAATAATGCCACGCACATCACCCAAGCAACCAACATAACTCCATATAAAAAGATAAGGATAAGGAGGATGAAACCTTCAACCTCTTATAAGAATGAAAACTATTTTAGCATCTAGCCAATTATTAGATCAAGTATGTTATTAATATATAAAAAAAATTATATAAGTGCAAACCGCAAGGTTCAATTAAAATATATATATATATATATATATATATATATATATATATATTTAAAAAAAAATTCAATTTTAATTTGACAATGACAATTAAAATTCTAAAAAGCCTTTTAATTTTCTTTTAACGATTGAACGTCTACAACAATAGCAACCGGGACAACGCATGGATGTTGGTACGATTACTCTATCTACATGAGGACAATACATGAGGTTTATCAAAGGCCCTTGTTATTTTGACTAATTGAAAACAATAGTAGTTATTGTACGTTCCAAACAAACTCATCCATAACATTGTTATCTACTTTCACCCAAGTCAGGAATTGTGTGATCATTATAAAATAAAATTATAAAAAATCCTACTCCATATATAATTATAAAATATGACGTACAAGAGTAGAACATATATACCTTGACATTTCCAGCCTCCTTTATGGCCTCAACAAGCTTGAGTTGTAGCAAAATGTTATGGCTTCTAAAGTGAACACCGGACATAGTTGAGATCACGACGTCTACAAGCTTCACCGCCTCGACAAGGCTGTGATGATCATCGAACGAGCCCTCGACGAGGCGAGCACCCTCCATCTTAAAGGAGAGAAGCATCTGGAGCTTGTCAATGTCTAGGCCAATTTCTTTCCTAAGGAGAACATAAGTTTCATGGGCTTGTGCTAGGCATGCCTTCACAATCCTCTTGCCTATGTAACCTGTTCCTCCTACAACAAGCACCTTTGTCTTTGCCATTATTCAATTATTGAAAAATTTCTTAGAATTTTGTAACATAATATTTTTGAGTTATGTTTATATTAATTTGTGGCCTAAAGATATGAAGGTGAAGATTTTTATATATGTATATATAGAGAGAGACTTTTGTTTTCTTCTCTTGCACACACTAAGCTAGAGTGTTTGAAAAAAAAAAAGGTGACTTCAAGAAGTTGAAATATGTTTGGTAGGGTTGTTAAAACTTAGAAATGTGGCCGTAATTATTGATAAAATAATGTTGAAAGGTACTCCACACTCCAAAGTGTACCAATTTAAAGTCATAAGATGATAAAAGGGTACCAAACTATTGTTAGAAAATAACTATTGACAATGACTTTCTTTTTTTGGTCAAGTTTGACAATAATATATGTAGTCCAAGGATGCAAAGAAGCATAGTCATATTTAAAAGTCTTTATTACTATAAAAACTCGCTATTATAAACATCGATAAATCATATTATATGAGACTTTTTAAAATATTGCTTTGTAATATAAAAAATTTTCCTTAATTATTATATTGAATCAAGTTCCGCCAAAGTTATTAAACTTTGGGAAAACGGAGCAAAACGTACAAGTTCCATACTATCGTTAGTGTCCCACCTAGCTACTAGGTGAGCCACCGTATTACAATTTCGCTTCACATGTGAGAAAGTACATTGCTCAAAGTATGCTCTAACACAACTAATATCATCAAGAATGGAGAAATAGGAGAACAACCCTTTTCCTTTGCCAACACTGCTTTGAACTACAATTTTCCTTCGTATTTTATTGAAGAAAAATGATAAACATAACCCTTAGGGCTATGTATAAGGAGCTAAAAAAAGAAATATTAACGTTAAATTTATATTAATCACACCAATTTGCGCGTGATTTTGTCATGAATTCTCAACTTAATTTCATTTTAGGAAGTGTAGACACCCATTTGTGTCTCCCCAAAACCAAACCCGGTGATGAGTACCTTTCACGTCGAATCATAATCGAATGAAGCGAAAGTGTGTAAAGTTTAGTGTTGTGGAAAATTTTAATTTCTTTTCTCTTCTCTCTATTTTTGAAAACTTATTTTAATAAAACAGCCAATCCAGTTTGGTTGGTCCATGATGTGGGTCCAATAGTAGCGTAGTTAGATGGGGCTTGACAAGAGCTTTCCAACGATATATTATAAGCCCAATTCCGATGAATATCGAGGAAGTTATGACCAATTTACTAAACTGGGCCCGGTTTGAGCCTTATGTACGGCCCAATGATCTAGAGGAGGGCCTAATATGATTTATCATTCCTAATGCAATTAGGAATGGTTTTACTCTTCTAGATTCTTCTAGAAGGTTCTTTTCATTCCTAATTCAATTAGCATTGATAAATTGACTTTTTGTTGACTTTTCAGAGTTTTAATTAAAATCAAAAAGCATTTTCGAGGAAAATATACGATTTTACCCCCCTGAACGGCAAAACTTATCTGATTTTCGAAAACGCGTCAAAAACAAGCCTGGCGCCAGACTCCAGGCATTGGCGCCTGAAACCAGGCCTGGCTCCTGGCGCTAGCCATTGGCGCTTGGTGCTAGCCATTGGCGCCTGGCGCCAATTAGCTGGTGCTGGCGCCAGCTCTGTTTTAGGTGCGTCAATCTCGTTTTGCGTGCGCCAAGTGCTCTGTTTTGATATTTTATCTTTTTGGCTGATTTTTCTATAAATTACGTATTAAAAACTCCGTTTTCATTCATTAACAATCAGTTTTAATTAATATTCACCTACAATCAGTTTTCATTCGCAATCATTAATTCTCTAATTCTCTCTTAATCATTCACCGATTCTCATCAAGTTTTCTTGATTATTTCAATCATCTCTCTTTATTTCTTTTTCTAAACTTTGTTTTTACATACAAAATTCCGCATTCGCAAGATCTAGAAACACCTTGCCATATTCGAAGTTGCCTTCTCCCTAGACGTGAAAGGTTTAATTTATGAGGGTTTGGTCCCAAATCTCTATCCAATTATTTAATTTGATTGTTTTGTTTATTATTTTCCTTGAAGTTACTAACGTGTGTATTTTGTTATTAGAAAGAGATACGAGGCATCAAAGTAAGTGCTTTAATGGTTTTAATTGATGTTATGATGTAGAAATCATATTTAAATTGTTATTATGATATTCCTAGTATCATGTCTAGGGTAATTTTAATATTAAATATGATTGTTACGATGCTTCCTATGTTCTTCCTAATATTTATGATTGTTAGTATCATGTTAGGGCTAAAGCTTTGATTTTTATTGCTTAGTGACATGCTAAGGTTTGTTATTAATCTTGTTAGTATCATGCCTAGGATCTTGCTATTATTATGCTTTAATATTAACATGAACATGATTATGATTATAATGATTATAATTTATGATGATTATGAATATTATTATTGTTATAATTTATGATGATTATTATTATGATTATAATTTTATTGTCATGATTATAATTATTTATTTATTATTATGTTGCTTGATGTAGTATATTTATTTTTATTGCTTGATCACACCTTTTATTGCATGTTTAAAGGGAATTTGTATTTGTAATCACGCTTAATAAGATAATTAATAATCTTGTGTAGGGTTAATATGATTATAATTTCAAGTGATCGCCAATAATAGATTTATTTGTGCATTAAATTTAACCAACATAGATAAACAAGTTTAGGGTTAATCCTATTGATTGTATGTTAATTAAAAAGCGCACATGAATACGATCAGAATAAAGTAAAGGATTATTATTAGGGCAGGTTCAATCTCTTTTAGGTTGGATTTGTACCTTCATCCCCGAACCCTTATTTGGTTCAAGACCTTATGGAGTTGACGATCTCTTGGATCGTTAAGGGGTGTAACCTTCACCCTGTGAACGGTTTACAAGTTTCTAAAACTTGTTGGCGATTCTTTTGCTCTATCTTCTTCCCTTTTGGACGCCACTGTACTTTAGTGTATGATCACAGTGGGGTTCAAGCATGGGGTTAACGCTTGAAAATTATTCCCTACAGGAAGTATATTTAATACTTATCATATGCTTACTTTGACTAAACTTTTTATCAATATATGAAAAAAACATTTATTCATGTAAAATAATTTTTGTTTTTTGAATAGCTCATGTAAAATATTTTTAGATTAGTCTTTATGCATATCTTCATTAGATTATACTTTTATACTTCTTAATAATACTTGTATATAATTACAATTATCTATTATGAAAGTTATGCATTAACATATATATATCAATAAAATGTTACGATTATTATAAAATGGAGGGAGTTTCCAACGAAAGACTTGTACTGACATGAAAAAATAGCCTAGTCTAAAAGAATCCATTACACATCCAACAGAACTACAGAAGTGACACGTTTGTGAGACATTGCTTCGGCATCGTTTTCGAAATTTGGCAAGAGGCCAACAAGAATACAACGAGCTTACCAGTTTATTAATTTATTTTTCACTAATTTACAAAAATACAAAATACAAAATAGTATATTAAATGAACCTTCTTAGGGCCTGTTCTCTTCCGTTGAAATTCAGTTCAGTTCAGTTCTTAATTTACGTCTAATGATATTGCTAATGATATAAAGCCAAATTTCATTCTTTTAAGCTCTTATTACAACGACGACGACGACGACAACAACAACAACAATAATAATAATAATAACAATAATAATAATAATAATCAATAAGTAATAAATAATAATAATAATAATAATAATCAATAAATAATAATAATAATAACAATAATAATTGAAATAATAATACTAATAATAATAATCAATAAATAATAATAATAATCATCAATAAATAATAATAATAATAATGATAATAATCAATAAATAATAATAATAATCATCAATAATTAATAATAATAATAATAATAATATGTACATTTGTATATACACATATGTATAGTAATAAATAATCAATAAATAATCCGTAGTTAGAAATCACTAATTAATAAGTTCAATTCAGTTCAACACAGTTCAATCGGAACAGGCCTTTAGTTCTTACACCGTAAATGGGCTTCATTGATGTAAAATCGGCCCAACATGACTTTTTTGGCCCATAATAGCCCATACCCAATTATAAACCCAACCTACAAATATCATTAAAAAATAAAAAACTTGAATAAAAAATAAATATTAATTAATAAAAACAGATAATGTTAACCGTTTTTCTTGACCTTCCTCAATTTTTTTTGTTGGTAATTAATTAAAAATGCCATTTCCCGGCGCCAAAATTCCGACGGCAATTCCAACTTTCCCGTCACATAAGGTAAGTTGTTTTATTTTTCTATTTTTAATAAATTTGTTTTACTTATTTATTTTTCCAATGAATTTTAATTCTAAAATTGTTGGATAATTAGGTTGAATATGGGCGATTATTTGAGGTTGACAACAATTGGAAAAATAGAGGTTTGAAATTAAGTTGGAATTTTGGAATTACAAAATTGAAGCTGAAAAGAAGTAATTATCACTCAAGATTTGTTACTTATGCTTCTAACGTCTCAGTTTCTGACGCTTCCTTTCCAACTGATTATTCTGAGCTTCTTCGTCAAGTAATTTATTATCCTTTTTTCAATTATTATGGCCCATGAATACAAAATGCAATTTTTTCAATTAGGCCGAAACTTATATACAACGGGTGTATTGTATATGACAACTCGTCTTTTTTGTAGAAATAATATAATTACTTATTTGTTGGTTGAGAAATGACCCAGGTGACAATACACTCGTTGTACACAACACCTACTGAACTTACTTTGTGGGATTTTGTTTGAAAATTTAATTGGAAGTTTGTTTTCACCTAATATAAGTTGATAAGGGTTTTATCGTGTTAGTTGATGTAATCTGTTAATAATTTGGATACCCAGAAGTTAAAATTGTTGATGAACATTTGTTATTGTAGTAATGAGCATTTTTATTTTATTTATTGTTAGACATTTATTTTTATTTATCTTCAGTGTTTGTTGCAGTCAATGAAATAATATTGATGTTTTAAATATGACAATAAAGAATGGAAATTGGAGAGCTAAACTGCTAATTGTATGAGAAAGGAATTTGTGCTTCCAAATGATCTGAAATCGACACGCTTACTTGTTAAGTCGCTTGATTGTAATCGTGTTGTGAATCAACTTCCTGATTCTCATTACACTGTCCCACTGCTTCTGTGTTATGACTTGCAGGCGAAAGAAGCTACTGAGTTAGCAATGAAGGATAACATACAGTTGATGGTTAGTGTTGTGATTTCAAATTTCGCTTTGGTTTAATCATCTTAAGCAGTTACAGTGTTGTCTTGTGTCTAACATAAACGCTATGCAGGAGATTGAGTTCCCAACTTCTGGATTACAATCAGTGCCTGGTTCGTGCTACATACATGCTTTGTCTTGAATATCGCACATCCCCCTTTCCCTGTCCTTAAGTCTATCGATTACATTGAATGTACAAGCTGGTATAAATGTATAACTCTATGATCCCTGGTTTAGGTGATGGTGAAGGTGGTATAGAAATGACTGAGAGCATGCAGTTGATCCGTGAATTCTGTGACCGCCTTGTAGCTCCAGAAAAAGCTACCCGGACCAGGATAGTATGAATGTTTCTGGAAAATTATATGTATTCTCCTTTTCTTATAATAATTGGAGTCTGTATTGCTTGATTTTTTAATGTGAATACTTAATCTAAAAAATTTCCCAGTCTTCTAAGAATGCTCAAATTTCATGTTACACAATCTCCATTCATTTGATTTCAAAAAAGAAAAATCATGGAGCTACTTTGTTTAGTGTAATTAAACGGCTATCAACTGAAGAAACTCTTCTTATCCCAATATTGGATAGTCTTCAGAGTTGAAACATGTGGATTCTGGTATGAAAAGAGAATGTTGATTAAATTGAGACAATGCAAATCTGCGGACTCTAATATGGTAGAATATTTTGATTGTGTTTGATGGTTTCTTTGAGTGATTAATTCAATTCAACTAGTTTAACTTTTGCTTTTGTTATTTCAGTTTTTCCCAGAAGCCAGTGAAGTAAAGTTTGCGAGAACGTCAGTTTTTGAGGGAGTTTCATTGAAATTGGATTACCTAACTAAGCCATCTTTTTTTGAGGACTTTGGTTTTGGCACAAAAGTCAAAACGGCAGACCGCGTACGGCCAGAAGATGAGCTTTTCTTGGTTGCATACCCATACTTCAATGTGAATGGTAGATCCTCTGTTACAGTCCTCTTCATTTTAGTGAATCTGTTGATGTAATTCTGATGTGGTTTTGTTGAATGAAGAGATGCTTGTTGTGGAAGAACTGTATAAAGAAGCAGTCACTAACACTTCGAGGAAATTGATTATTTTCAATGGGGAACTGGATCGAATAAGATCTGGATGTATCCTTTATTCTCATGAGCTGACATTGAATAGTTTGTGCATGCTTCGCCATTTAAGTGCTTGTAATTCCTTTCTCTTAATGGTCATTTGGTTTTTCATGAGAATTATCAGTTCCCATGTAGTTGTAATACTCGCAGAATTCCTTGAACGTGACCATACATTGTTTGGTTGGAAAACTCCAAGTAGTAAGGAATTTCCTCTGGGAAGTTGTACTTACCGTTGTTTGGTATTGGCATACCAAGCAACAGTTGAGTTTCTATTTCCTGCAAACTTCGACTTCTTGTGTAAGCCTTTAATACAAAATGTATGAAACCATGAACATGTTGGCTGACTGTTGTCCTTGACAAAAGGACTCCAGACTACCCGTCATTCTTTTACCCAAAGTTGGCTGCACTTACCAAGACATTGTTGCCAAAAATGGAAACCGTGTATTACATTCATAATTTTAAAGGACGAAATGGTGGAACTCTTTTCAGGTTTGTTGCCAAAAGTTGCAATTTAGCTGCTCAGTTGCAAATATTTTACATACTTCTGAACTTTCTTAGGAGTCAGCCTTTTGTATCTTCTATCAATTATTACTTAAAAGATACAATACTGCAGGTGTTATCCCGGGCCTTGGCAGGTTCTTAGAAGGACTGGAAACAAGTATATTTGTGTGCATCAACGAGAAACTATGCCATCTCTGAAGGAAGTTGCCTTAGACATCCTTCAACCAGCTTAATCTTCATGGCTGCTTCCAAGTATCTTGTATATTGTACTTTCTGATCGTAAAGCCCCAGGTACATAAAAACCTTAAGATTATTATCAACTCAATAATTGTAAGCATATTTCTTCCGTTTATTGTTTGCTGTTATTCTGTTCAATAGTTCCTTGAGATGCTGTATTCGGGTGTTCAAAAAAAAAAAAAAAAAAAAAAACTAAACTATCCATTGTTAAATTGATTGGAAAAACCAATGTATTGCCGTTGAGCCCTTGTTATGAATATTTGGAACCTTATCTCTCTTTTTATTGTCTTAGTGTCTTACTACAGTTAGGTGATCACAGGCCATGGTATGTTGATTGGTTTGAACTCTGCTTTGGATATTTTCATTTGGGCTACTCATGTCGACCCCTAACATTCTAACAAGAGCCTAATCAATAGGGTTTGGCTATCTGTGCATTTAGTCTTAAGACTTGTGGTGACATCATTATTTTGAGTCTTAAGATTTATACTTAAGACTTTTCCCATTTTTCTTCAAAAATCTCAAGCAAGTCTACTCAACTTAAAACTTGAGATTGGAACCCACTTCACCCACTTCACTTTTATTTTTATTATCCTTATTTTTTTTCCACACTTTTCTACATATAATATGTCTAATATTTAAGTTTTAGGGCTAAAGTAATAAATTTGTGTAAGACTTAGAATTTGATGACATCATTTTCAATGGGACCACAAAAAATGATGTCATATCCAATAAACTTGCTCTTTAGACCTAGCTTTTGTATAACTTTTTTTTTTTTTTTGAAAAATAACATTTAAAAAATGTTATTCTTAAGTGTACGTTTCAAATTAATTGAAAAAGGTGGTCATAGTATCTGACGAGGTTTTACCAGAAATGAACTTATTTGCTTTTTAATATGTATGACTCATTATAGAATTATATTATTCTAATTATTTGGTTTCATTTTAGCATGATACGGAGTATAAAACAATTTCTAAGCTAGCTGTCTTAATCTTTTTCTCGATGTTGATGATTTAAAAAATTAATTAGTAACCTAATCATTGTTAAAACTATTTCACCAACTCACTAATGACACCATTTTCTCTTAGAATGATTGGGAGGTGAAAGAGGGTAACTATTCAGAAGCTAATTGGGTAATTGCTTGTCCAATGATACAGTGAAACAGATTACCCTTCGTTTTATTTTACTTGTCTCATTTTTATTATTTTGTGCGCCACAATTTGCTTGCGCATTTCATTTTAAGGAAATTATTTTTTACTTTGTTTTTTTACGGGACAAAGGGACTAACAAGATGAGTTCGCTTTGCCACATTTGTTAATTAGGGAAGTTATCACTCTCTCTCTATTTACTTGGAGGCTTTGCCTTTCATTTGGACAATTGTACACCAGTGACTAGTTGATACAAAGGACTCAATATAAACAAGGAAATTAGCAAAATATGGCACTCCTTTAATTATTACTTCGTATTTTTTTTTTTGGTATGATTATGCTTAATGTGTACAAATTATTAATTTTATGAAATCTTAGTAATAGATTATTAAATATATTGATAATTTAAGTTACATGTTGACACGTATGTCAGTCAAATTGTTAAAATTATTCTGGAACAAAGGATAATTACTAACACGCAAATGTTGTATCTTCCTGCCTTATGAGTTTTACCTGTTTTACCTACTACTTTAGAGAGTTTATAAGTATTCCGTCTTTTTGTTTACAAAACAATATTATCTTATATGATGTCTTACCTGAAAGCCTCAATCCTTGCTCTATTACTACTTCCAACTCTGTTATCCTCTTCCTTTGCAACTTCACAATCTCTTGATGAATCCTTTAAACAATGCCTCAACCAAAACTCCAAGCTTCGAATCCAGTTCTCCAATACATTTTTCACTGCAAAAAATCCCTCCTTCACATCTGTTTTAAACTCTACTATCATGAACTTCAGGTATTTGCTGCCTTCAGTACAAAAACCTTTGATTATTTTCACCCCTTTACATGAAACCCATATTCAAGCAGCTGTTATATGCTCAGAACAACTCGGAATTCACCTAAGAATCCGCAGTGGAGGCCATGATTACGAGGGTGTCTCTTTTGCATCTGAAATTGACCACCCTTTTATAATTGTAGACCTTGTTAAACTCCGAAACATCAGTATTGATATCGAAGATGAAACTGCATGGGTTGAAGCAGGCACCACTATTGGTGAATTCTATTACAGAATTGCTGAAAAAAGCAGAGTTCATGGCTTTCCAGCTGGTATCTTTACCAGTTTAGGCATGGGTGGGCATATTACAGGAGGAGCATACGGATCTATGCTAAGAAAGTTTGGCCTTGGAGCTGATAATGCCATTGATGCCCATATAATCGATGTGAATGGTCGGGTTCTTGATAGAAGATCCATGGGAGAAGATCTCTTTTGGGCTATCTGTGGAGGTGCAGGAGGAAGTTTTGGGGTTATTGTTGCTTGGAGACTCAAATTGGTTCGTATACCGCCTACTGTGACTTATTTCATGATTAACAAAACCATGGAAGAAGATGACATCAAGGTCTTAGATAAATGGCAACATGTATGTGATAAATTTGATGACAATCTCTTGGTTAAAGTCACTATGCAGGCAACAAATCCTAATGAAGAAGGCGAAATAAACGTGACAATAAAATATCAAGGTCTGTTCCTTGGCAAAGCCAGTAGACTGCTTCGAATCATGGGAAGAAAGTTTCCGGAACTAGGTGTTTCAAGAAAGGATTGTCTTGAAATCACATGGATTGAATCGGTGTTATACATGGGTGGATACCCAAATGGAACATCTCTTGATATTTTACTTCAGGCAAAGTCATCTTTTAGGACCTTCTTCAAAGCAAAGTCTGATTTTGTCCGAAAGCCAATTCCTGAAACTGCAATCACAGAGCTTTTGAAAAGGTTGAAACAAGACAGTAGTGTTGTAATATTCACCCCTTATGGTGGAAAGATGAACAGAATCTCAGAATCTGCAATTCCCTTCCCGCAGAGGAAGGGTACCGTGTATATGATCCAGTACCTTACGATTTGGCAAGACGGGAAAAAGAGTGAAAAACTGCACATGAAATGGATTAGGAAGCTGTACAAGTTCATGAAGCCTTATGTCAGTAAAAATCCTAGAAGTGCATATGCAAATTATAGGGACTTTGATTTAGGGATGAATGAGCTAGGGAACACAAGCTTTAAGAAAGCAGGTGCTTGGGGTTATAAATACTTCAAGGGAAATTTCAAGAGATTGGTACAAATTAAGACTCAGAATGATCCTAATAACTTTTTCAGACATGAACAAAGCATTCCAGTTCTTGCAATGTAGATCGTTTTTTTTTTTCCAATGGTGGTAGTATCGATCTCTTGCTGCCTCTGTTTCTCTTTTGGGTTTCGAACTTTCGATTGGTCTAGCTAGGTTAAATAAACCAACTCAATTTAGAACTGGCAAAAAGTCGTGTCGTGTTCGTGTTTGGTCTCGTGTCAATTTCATGTCGTTCATAAAATCTATCAAAAACTATGTAATGTGTAAGATAAATGCATAGTTTGACCACTTTATCTAAATGGGTCGTGTTCGGGTTGGTTTTGTGTCGTGTCATGTCATGTCTATTTCGTGTTTTCTCTCAATAACTTTGTGTTCATGTCGTGCCAATTTCGGTCGTGTTGTGTCGGTCAGATATTGTCAGCTCCCAACGCTACTGTTGTTCATATAATTCAACTCTCTATATATTTATAGATCGAAGTGTTTATGTAACATTATATGGAAAACATGATGCTTCTAATGGGATGGCTAAACCAAATAGAAGTGGGCAAGGCCTAGGACAAGGACAACACGTATCACACCAAAATAGTTCATGCTACAGATTACAAGCAATTTAAAAATCACGAGTCATCATAATAGAATATTTTCCCAAATAAATACTACATCCGTTTCATAACTTTTACAACTTTTGCTAAATAATGCTACACATTATTCCCAACTAATGTTTTTTTTTTCCTTTTTAGATTGTCGGTTCTCTCTATCTCTCTCCTCATCACATGCATTCTTATTTTTCTCTCAATCTTACACTCACAAAAAAAATTTGCTTAGAAGTCCATACACCTTCAAAGTTGTAAAAAAAGTGAAAAAGAGGTAGTAGGTAAAAACTAAAATCACGAGTGTAGTTAGTCACATGAAACCTTGAATTGCAAGACTTGAGGATTTTCCATTATAACAGTAATAGCAATGAAAAAAAAAATAGAGAGGGGAAAGATATTCACTATAGATATTGATTGTGGTATTCTAATTTCTAAACTCTGTATTATGTAACTGAGTTATACATAGAAATCAAAAGAATAAAACAGATCAACTGCCACATTGATAAACTTGTACAACCTCAACTAATCTGGAGGCAAAGTAAATGGCAGGACTTTACACCTTAGGAATGTATAACACCGATAGATTAAGCACATTTTTCTGTCATCTTCCTCCAAAAATATACAATTTGTAGCTGCTCCGGATGGTTGGTTCTTCAGCTAATCCAAATGACGTAAATCTTGGTATTGTTTTACATCAGGAATGAATATTATCAGCCAAAAAGAATGACTGCTACTTCCGGATAAATATATGCACATGAACACTAGCCAGCTGTATATATGCTCATTCAGCAGGTGCATCTGGCAACTCTGGCACAACTGCAGATGACAATTCGATATGAGATACACGGACAGCACCAATCAACTTCTCTGGTAACTCCTCTTCAGTATTTGCCTGAATTCACATCAACTTGGAGTCAATTAGCCTGCAAACAAAGCAGTTTGCTTGCGAAAAAGAGAGCAATTGCCCAAAGAAAACAGTGCAGATCCCTAAATTTAGGGTTGTAATAATTTTTCCCATTTTGATTCCTGCCGAGTGCCTCATCCATAATTGACTTTAGTTCATAACCAGCTTCAAACTTCTATAAAATCAATGGTCAATGCAATGCAAGCACTGTAATTAAAGAAATTAGGTCATAAGAAGGAACACATTCATTGGATTTCCACAGCACACATACATCCCAGATAAAACTAAACCGCAAGGTCCCTAAAGTTCCCTTGATTACGAAAGAAAAGAGAACTCTGTAAACCACAATCTCATTAGTTACACACGAAATGAGAACTCTCTAAACCGCAAACAAATTCACTGTTTTATAACCTCAATTTCAGTCCTAAAAAGGGGGTTAAAACTAATTTCCTAATCAAGCAATAAATTTTCACTGGATCATAAAATTTCATATATTCATTCATTAAAATTTCAAAAAACTCCTCAGTAGCTCTCTAAGACCACAATCTCATTACTATTGGGCCTTTACTCTAGGCTCTCCATCAATTGCCACTTTGTAGCAACTTTTTTTTTTGGGGGGAATTCATACCTGTACAAGGAAAGCCATATCAACCACCAATGTTGTAATCACCCCAATCACAAGTCCCAAAACTCCATTGGCTACTGTTGAAGAGCCAATATCTACATCAACCTACAAAAGGTAATCAGCAAACAATGACCAAAATCAATGCAAATACACTTGAATCAATAATATTCAATCGCCAATTCACAAACAAATTTGAAATTTACCTCCAAGTAGTTTGGCCCTCGAATGTAGTTACAGTCAACTGCTTTTCCTAACAAACAAGGAGTGCTTCCAACACTCTGACGAACAATCCAAGAGCCCTGCATAAAGCATATACCCATTCAGAAAATGCAGAATATGGAAGTAAAAAAGGCTAAAATAAACAGTAGTAAAATACCAATCCATCAGAGATTCACATTGCAACAAGGCCAACAACTGGAATCTGACATTCTAACAAAACTGGGGAAATCTCTATTGAAAGAGGGGCAGAAGTTGACCAACTATTCAATTAAATATTTACATATAGCCTTTTTATCTCTACACAAGTTCAGCAGCATAAATGGTGCACACTGCACAGCCTTTACAATTAACAAATAAGTAAACTGGAACATAACATACCTTCCAACAACACCACTAACTTCTTAACAACATGAGAAAAAAAAGAAACTTTACTTAACCCATTATTTGGGGAGGGGGAGGGGGAGGGGATAACAAGGCATAAATTGTGCAGTGGCAGTCACTTTGCCTATATAAAATGAATTCAACAGCTTAATCTTTTCCTGCCTATTCTTGGGGAAATTAAACCAGAAAAAGCAGTGAAATAAAATGACAAGTTCGCTTATCAACTTATTAATACCAAACTTTAGCAGGCATTTTGAAAATTATCTCAACAAGAACGTCTGAAGTTACCTTGGGAACTGAAGGGATGAGCTTCAGCCGGGTATTACGAAACTCATCATCGCCATCCACAAAACGTTGCAAAAGTGACCCAGGTATTAATTTTGTTGTCACAAAATAGAACACCATACTATAGTGAGTTGAACCAGGTACCTGATGGAAATGGAGTAAATAACCTTTCTAATTCAAGGTATGTAAAGTTAGATCAAGGGCTGGGTGGTTGAAAAAAACTCACTTGAAAATTAATAACCAAAGGAAACATTCCTTTCTCCACAGCAACCTACAAATAGAAAGACAATCAAAGGTTCATTATACTCATTATATGGGGGACCAAGATAAATCCCTGGCAATAAATAATAACATCTGATTAAGGCATAGTTTAAGAGATGGAATTGAATAATTTATAGCACGGCTAAGAATAAATTAATAGATTACAATTTTGACGCCAAAAAAATTTAAAAGATAATAGGTTATATGGCCAGATACCCATTATAACGTTTGAATTTGTAAGATAAATGCATCATAAATTCACTTCCAAACTTTGTAAAGTAGGTTAAAAAATAGGGAAACAAATGACAAAAGTCTCAATCAACACCATCTATAATACAGGGAGGCTCTTTGCTATCTCTTTAGTAAAAGGCAACAAGTTCACTATTTTCCAGGGATAACATTGCTTATACACACAAGCTTGTGTATACAGATCAGTAAATTCCAAAGTACAAACCCCTGATCAGAACATCTCAAACACCAAAATAAATCATTGTGTTAGGACATTATTGTCAAAGTTATAGTTGCATAAGTGCACAAGCTGTTGCAATGTATAGTGTCAAACACAGATGCCACAATCAGAACAGATTTTCCAAAATTTGCTGAATTGATTGATTCAAAAGAAAACAAGTTGACAAGTTAAAGCATAAGGTGAAGTAAGAGGAAGAAAATACTCGATGTAGCAGAGTAGCTTAAGCAATATGGCAAAAAAAATAAGACCAAATGTGATACATTCATAAAACCATAATAACCCTTAAATTCTGAATTGGATAATAACAAAATGGAATCAAGATTCTTGCTTCAATAACATATTAATTTTACTTCTGTATAAACACAAACACAAAAAAAAAAAAAAAAAAAAAAAAAAAAGGGAATGAGAAAAGAAAGAATTTAGATCTCACCTGTGCTGCACAGCCTTGACGTCTAGCAACATGGTCCATCCGATTTGAATCTTTGAACCAATCAACTGCAACAAGATCCATTATAGGTTTCCCTGCTGTGACCTTTGATTTGTCACGACAGAAATTCTTGCTGCGAACTTTGAAGTTGTTTCCATCGGATATTCTCCAACAATTGCGAGCATTTTCATTGTCATCTCGTCGTAAAGTTCCCGAGAACAAAGTTAAGTCAATCTGATCAGTCGGTTCTTCAACAGCTTCAAACATAAAGGGAGCTGTTAACCTCTATGCAGGAATATAAGTATTACAGTCATAAAAACAAAGAAGATAAATGAATGATTAAAGCAATGCCCACCTGCTATTTTGACTTCATTCTCTGGTGGAGAACGGTAACCCTACAAGATTGCCAAAATAGAAAATCAGAATTTTAGATAAATAGCCATAAAAAGAGTTTACAGAGCAATCTTGTACAAAGTTACAAACCTCTTGGTCTGACTCAGGTATTTGAAAATCCTCATCTTCATCAGAGTCTTCATCCATCATGACAGAGTTTCTATTAGGAACAATATTCGGATCGGAAAAACTAGGATGAATAGATGAGTCCTGAAATTTTAGGTTCTTTCGAGAAGACATAGATGCTGAGGTCATGTTGACCATGACTGGAATTCTGGGAGTAGCGATCCTTTCATCAGTTTGAGAAAAGTATTCACGCAACCCTGTCAGAATAGTGAGAGATTCTACAATTAATCACACGGACACATTTTAAGGGATAAAGAGGCAAAAGCTTCTTGACAGGCCAATTGACAAAGGGGACTCCATGCAAGTTTTCTAAAATTGTGTTCAACTATCTTGTTTAATAACATTCAGCAACAATTCTTTGAGAGAACCTCATGAAATCACAAGAAATATGAATAGAAATGTCAGCAACTAGCCTTAAGAAGGGGGAGGGGTGAAAACTCCATAATTGTCCTATACAGTTCTGCATGCAATCATAGCTTCTACTGTCAAACTTGAACACTTATTTATTTAATTTTTTAATATTACCTCCGTAATCTAATGTTGTTCCCATATAAAACCTTTATAAAATTTCAATGCAAATGGAATCTCAAACTCTCTCGGTGAATATATAAGAAGTAACATTTGTGGGATAGATCTTGTTTCAATCATCTCAATGTGTTAGTTCCAACATAGCAACTAATTAATATTTTTTACAAAGCGTATTTTAGTAAATTGATGCTAAAAAAATGCATTAAGAATCGTTCAACAGGCAAATGGGAAAATTTTTCACGAATGGAGGTATTACGAGTTATGCTGCACAGAAATAC